GCAGGTCTACTATGGAAGCTATACATTTGTTGAGAGGTTTGATGGATGAGTTCAGAGATAATAAGGAGAATCTACAGTTTATTTTTATTGATTTAGAAAAAGCTTACGATAAGGTTCCAAGAGATATCCTTTGGAGAGTTATTGAGAAGAAATGTGTTGATATGACTTATATTCAAGTTACTAAAGATATGTATACTAGAGTTGTTACTTGTGTTTGAACTGAAGGAGGATTGACCAAATATTTTCCTATTTTTGTTGGATTACATCAGGGATCGGCTTTAAGCCCATATCTTTTTGCTTAAGTTATGGATAGTCTTACTGGACATTTACAGAGGATGTACCTTGATGTATGTTTTTTGCTGATGAAATCCTTCCCGGGGGTAAGATGAGAGTAGTAGTAGCTCTAGTGACAGAAGTGTGATCTTGGGTGATCAAATTATTAAAAGGTGTGAACGATTTAGTTATCTTGGGTTTGTTGTTCATAGCGATGGTGATATAGATGGGGATGTTAATAGTAGAATCCAAGTTGGTTGGTTGAAGTGGAGGAATGCTTCGGGCCTTCTGTGTGATAGAAAAGTACCGCTTAGATTGAAAGGAAAATTTATAAGATGGTGGTGAGACCTGCAATGCTCTATGGCGCTGAATGTTGGCCTTTAAAAGAGAAGCATAATAATAAGTTAAAGTGTTGCCGAGATGAGAATGATTAGATAGATGAGTGACTTTACACTTAGAGACAAAATGCAAAATGAATATATCTGTGATAGGATTGGTGTAGCTTCTATGACGAACAAAATTAGAGAAAGTCGTCTTAGATGGTTTGGTCACATTAAACGTCGCCCATCTTATGATCCAATTATGAGTAGGGTTGTAAATGAGCCGAGCTTGAGTGAGCTCAGGCTTGACTCGTGTTCGACTCGTTCGAAATTGTTTGTGTTCGAAATTGACTCGTGTTCGAAAACGGCTCGTGAACAGTGTGTTCGTGTTTTTCTTGATTTAAATATTCTTGTTAGTGTTCGGCTCGAAATTGACTCGTTAAAATTAAACTGAAAAAAAAATAGCATTGGATTCGAACCTGAACCAAATATATGCAAAACAAGACGCATAACCACATTATTACAAGAACAGTTATGATTTAAACTTAGATACAAATATGTATAATATATTATTATATAAATAATATGTGTAATATATTATTATATAAATAATTATATAATTTTTTTTTTTATTTCAAGCTAAAACGAGCCGAACACGAGCTTTAAAAACTTGTTCGTGTTCGGCTCGTTTATAAACCCTAAACTAACCCTAAACAAAGAGTTGTTCGTGTTCGGCTCGTTTATAATTCGAGCTTTAAAAACTTGTTCGTGTTTGACTTGTTTACTTAACGAACGAGCCGAACACGAGCTACTTAACGAGTCGAACACGAGCTGTTCGCGAACAACGAGATTTTTTGATAGCCCTAATTATGAGAGTAGATGTTTTAGATTCGACTTATGTTAAGAAAGACAGAGGTAAGCCTAGGAAGACTTAGACTTATTGTATAAAAAATGATCTTAATCTACTAGAACTAAATGAAAATATGACTCTAAATAGAACACAATAGAGAAAAAGAATTCATGTAGCCAACCCCACTTAGTGCAATAAATATTTGTTGTTGTTGTTGAAGACTGTTATAAATTTACATTTCTATATGTTGATCCCATTTCCAACATATTTTTTCCACTATTACCCATTTATACTGTAAACTTTCGTGTAAATATTAACTTAAATCACAGTGAGCTATCAACAACTAGTGAATACTCATATTTTAAATCATAATAATATAACCAAAGGAAAACAATATGCGTTGCTAAAAGTATTGAACCAACATTAGAAAAATTGGCATCATATTATTCAATTATGACATTTCATTAAAGTTTAGAATATTTAATGATACAGTAAAATAAACTATATTTATCTATATCATTTACATCTATCACAAGAAAACTGTCTAAGTTGTATCAATTAAGATATGTCATTATCAACAGTCTTTTTAAGTTTACGTGCATGGGTCACTTCGCATATCCAACTATTACAATAAAGGGTGAACTCTTATCATATTCAACATATACATACAAACATACTATATATAAATTATGAAATTTCATTAAAGTTTAGGATATTTAATGATACAATAAAATAAATTATATTTATCTATATCATTTACATCAATCAAAGGTAAACCGTCTAAATTTAGGGTTTAATATCAATTAAGATATGTCAATATCAACATCCTTTTTAAGTTTACGTGCATGGGTCACTTCGCATATCCAACTATTACAATAAAGGGTGAACTCTTATCATATTCAACATATACAAACAGACATACTATATTAAAATTATTTTGTTCGTATCATACAAATCGTTTTGTATTTTTTACTATAATCAATATAAATAAGTATATGAATATGAATCTATAACATTCACTTATATATGACCATTTTGACTAGTAAAATAGACTAATCATATCATACTTGTAATATTAGGATAGAGCATAAGTGCAAAATAGTCATCAGGTTAGCAACAAGTGATTGATTAACTTGTGGAAGCTGATAATTTAAATCCAAACTGATTATGAGAAATCTTTGTATGACGTCTTAACCTATGTTCAATTACCCTCTCCCATAATTTTAAAGTATGACACAACAACTTAATTCATCTATAACTTGCACTCTTTTGGATCCCTTTATTATTAAAAAAAAGGACCAAAATACTCTTCATTCACTCCTCAGACATCTTTTTAGTTTTTAAAATAAGATTAAAGAATTTAGTACGCCACGAAACTCTCTGATCTCCTAAATATTTCCACACTTCAATTGAGATAGCATCAGGTCCTATAGATTTTCCATCAGGTCCTACAGATTTTCTACCTTTGGTTTTCTTTAAAGTCTCCTCAACTTTTTTTTTCTAATGTGATGGTAAAAAAAAATTATTTTATTATTATTAAAGATATTAATATCACTAAGGTCAATCGTATTTTCAGAAACTTCATTGAAAAGTTTCTCAAAATAGCTCACCCACTTATGTTGAATATTTTTTTTTAAGAGAATCACTATTTTATTTTCATTTTTAATACACTTTACCTGAGTGAAATCTTTACTTTCCTTTTCCCTTCATTTGGTTAGTTTATACATATATTTTTTACCCTCACAGAATTTTTTAGCATAACAAAATTTTTTTTTAGACTCCCTACGAGTCACCTTATATTTTTTCCAATTATCCAAGTTTTTATTTAGACCAACTTTTATAACACAACTTCTTATATTTCATATTTTCTTGCACATTATTATTTCACCACCAACTATTTTAATTTATATAAAATTTCCTTTTGATTCTATAATTACATCTTTTGCCACTTGTTTAATAATATTTGTAAATTTATCCGACAAAAAATTTGTTTATTCATGAACATCTCAAATCTTGCATTATTGAAGTTTACTCATGAAAATAATTTTATTTGTATTTTTTAGGTACCCCCATCTAATTCTGTGATAATGATTTCTAGTATTTTTTATCTTACTATTCATCTTAAAATCCAGAACTAATAATCAATATTGAGTACTTAAATTCTCACAAGTAACGACCTTACAATCTTTACATTATCAACAATCTCTTCTTCTCAATAGAAAATAATTAATTTGTGCTTTATTAGATCTATTCTTACAAGTAATAATATGCTAGTATCTTTTTTTACATAAAGTATTAGCAATAATAAAATCATATGCTAAAGCAAAATCTAATATGACTCTACTTTCTTCATTAATCACTCCAAAATATGAACCAAATGATATGCAAAAAACAAAACCTTGGTGTTAGAACAAAGTATAGCATTAGCATGTGATGACAAAAGTAGGGTGATTATAGGAAAAGGGAAAAAAATAATTTATACGGAGTAGGTTCCAAATGTAGAAAAAAAGAAAAGGAATACTGATAAACATTACCAGAAGCTTTGCCCTATCTTTGCTTATGCCTACTCCCCTGCCGAGAACTTTTCCTGCTAACTCGACCTATACCATCAGTTACAAACTGAATGCATAAATATAAAAATCAATTGGATAAAAAAATAGAATATTCTATATGAAGTTGAACCAAAGGTAAGATACCTGAAAACAGTACTCTCTACAACTTGTGGAAGCTAGGGGAACTTCTTGAAAAATAAGGTTTTTCCTCTCTAAACACTAAAATTCAGTCAGTAAACATGAATAAAGTTGAGCATCGATAAAAAATCAGTGATAATGGAGCATGAGTTCTTGTGTCTTACTAGATCTTTTATGCCAGATAAAACAGATGATAATCTTTCTGATTTATCTGATTGCTCCAACTGCCCAATCAAACTAGAACTAGGTAAAAGTTCATTCTTGGATGACTTGTCCAGAGTAGTGTCAATGTACTCTTCTAAAAAACCATTCTCACTTTCAATAGAAATATTATTTGGTTTAGCAACCTCCACATTGGGAGAAATAAATGACAGGTACCCACCTAATCAAAAAAATGTAAATGAATGAAACAATAAGAAACTGACATTATCGCTAGTATTTTAACTGAAATTTTGAAGAAACCACTAAACTTCCGCATACTAGATATGGACAAGTAAAACTGGTAAGTGAGGCTAAATACAATAGTGACAGAGACTCACTAGCCAAATTGCGCAAAGCATTCTCAGCTGCTTGCAGTTGAGCTTCTTTTCTTGTTCTTCCCATTCCAATTCCAATCTTTTCTGAGCTGAACAAGACCTATCAACACAATGATCAGTAACCACTCCATATGGTACATCCCGTGAGGAATAAATAATGCAGCACTAAAAGATATTATCCTTACGAGTAAGGTTTATTGGAAAACATTTCTAAGAAGTTCATATCAAAATTTCTAACGCCCATTCACGTTCACAAATCTTCTAGGTAAGAAATTACTATTGCAATCAAAGAAAATCAACCTATCAAAAGAAAATAAACATATAATGAAGCATGCTAATATTTTATATAGCTATAAAAGCGCCATACAAAAATTAAAACAGCCACTTCAGCAGTCCAGCAATACAAACCTCAATAGTAAAGTGCAGATCCTTGCTGCTTCCAGTAACAGACCTAAATTCAACCTGCAATCGATGACAATTCCAAACAAAAAAGGAATCAATTTATTATTCAGAAGACTAGGCATCTGAAACAGTGCACAGCTCAAATTCATAATACCTTAGAATCACACCTCCGCCCAATTTCATGCAATACTGATATAAGCAAAAAAGATGGGAGTAGAGGAAGAGATTCACTATTAGCAGGTGCTCTATTTAGTGATCCATCATCGTCTTCACCAAAATCATCAAATTAGAACAGTTATAGGAACACACAAAAATTCATTTGTCAGTCCTTCATAATGAAAGCAAAACATAGAATTTAATAATCCTTCATATTTATAGAGGAATTGTGTTAAACAACCCATAAATGACAGTAAATCCTAATTGTGATAACTCAGCCTCATTAATCACCAAGCAAAATCTAAATACTAAAGAAGTGAAATGCTTTAGAGGAAATCCAGCCACTAACTTGATATCAAGAACTTCAAGTTGAAAAGCTCTGGCAAACACATTTCACGAGTTTACGTTGTGTGTTGTTCAAAATCCAAGTTTAACGAATGCCAGCTAGCGGAACAATAAATTTATGATATTTTAATGATCCATCTATAAGCATTACATTTCCGAACTGAAATTCGATGTGTCAAAATGCCAAGCTACAATACTGTTAATGCGGGAGACTTTTGGGATCATGGCTACAATACTGCTACAGTGCCGTGAACTCCCGGAGTGGTGGAGACAAGGGGACCCTTCCTTTATGTAGATTTCCCTTCTATTGGGAGTTGGGTCCACTCATATTTACTAAGTCTGAAAATATATTGTTTTTTGTGTTTTTATAGTCTTTTGATTGTTTTGTTTAGGACAGCTACCGGCAGCCGTTCATTTCCCTTCGAGGGTTGTATCTGAGAGATTGGGTGGTGCTCCGGCTATATCTCTCTCCCAAGATAGTGATAATCTTCCCATATCATCTTCCGCATCCTCCCACATCATTCCCGACCGCTTCATCCCTGCTGCAGCTGCCAGAAACAGCTGTCCTCTTGTTTCAACCCGCAGTTTTCTATCTTCAAGCCACCACCAGCAACTTTTCCGCTTGCTGTCCGTGTCTATTCCTGCCTTCACAGCCACCATGCCTCCCTTTCCAACGTGTCACTGCCTCCAAAACCCGCGCCCTACCATTTCCCACGTGCAGTCACCTTCCAGAAATCGCCTCCCTCACCGTCGCAACCATTCCAGCCACCCTTACCACCCTCCGCCACTACCTAGCTGTTGTCCCAATCGTTCCCCATGCTGTCTGCACTGTTCCAGCTGCCCAAATTCATTTCCTGTGCCGCCTTTTTACTCTTCTAGTCCCCGACAGGCCTTACCGCAACTCATCTACCTTCTAGAAACCTTACCTGTTGAATCCGCCACCTTCCAACACCCCAATCTACCCATTCCAGCTCACCTCGCCAACCTCCACCACACTTGGGATACATTTTAGTTGTGTTTGCTTGCTTTTTTTGCTGCATTTTCCTTTTAGCATGTGAGTTGTACCGACCTAATTGGTTTTGTAGTGATAATATTTGATTTTCTATTGTGGACTACTATCTCATTTGGTATCAGAGCTAGTCTAACCCTAATCCTACCCTAAGATTTTAAGGGTTCACAAATACCCAACCCTGTCTTCACCTAATTTTTTTTCGTTCTCACCCTACATCACCTTAACAAACTTTCCACCTACCCACACGGAAAATCTAGCCAAGGAGAAAATTATCTGAAGTCTGATCGAGGGGAAAGGGCAAGATAACGTTTATGAGAAATTTACAAAAAGGTGTCTAGGGGATTTCTAGGGAGGAGATGCAGTGAGAAACTCGCCAAATATAGCTGAAGCTTAACGCCGTCAAGAAGAGGTAATATGGATAGGTCTCTCATAGCCATAATAGTGACTTGCTAGATCAAAGGAATGAAGTAAGTCTTTTCTACCATGCGGATTCCAAGTATAAAAGATCTCTACTGTTATGAAAAACGACGACAATAAAGCGAAAAACAGATCGAGAAAAATCACACTAGAAAAAGGGACGACACAAGATTTACGAGGTTCGGCAAATTGCCTACGTCCACGGAGCTGCAGAGGATTTTATTAGCTTTGAGGCGTCGTCGAAATTACGTCGTCGTCGTCTTGACGATTACAAGAATAAAATTCTTCTCTCTTTTTTATTCTATCCTCTCTCTCTCTCTCCTCTCTCTCTCTCTTCTCTCTCTATCTAGTCACGTGAGAAAGAACAAAAAAGGAGCAAAGAAATAAAAAAGAAGACTTTTCTGCCAAAAAGCAAAGCAAAAGAAAACCTTTTTCTGCCCAAAAAAGGTGAAGGAACCTGCTCCTTGTTTCAGCCGCAAGAGAGAGGTTAATTTGTTGAGATGTGTGCTTAAGGGACTTGTTTAGCTTTTATAATGATCAAGAAGCATGCATTTAAGGAAATGCATTAAAACATCCACGCGGAGAGCATCTTTTCTGCAATTAGGTTCCGCGGAGAGAGAACAACGGGAGGCGGGAAGCTCAGAGAAGAAGCGGGAAACCTTATTTAGGAAGTTAATTAATCCCATAATTAACACTAATGATTTCCCAAAGGAGGAAGTGCACAGGGCTCCATATCCTCAACAATTCTCCCACTTGGAGACTGAGATACTGACTGTACTATTCACTAGCTAGATCGTCCTTTTCCTCAAACGTGACACCCTCCACCTCTGCAACTCAAAACCCCTGTCTTCAAGCTAGAAGACCAACTGAAGTCGAACACAACTTTAGTTTTTCAAGTGCGACGCCTTTGGTCAACATATCAGCAGGATTCTTACTTCCACAAATTTTCTCAAGTAGTAACTGTCCGTCATCTAACAATGATCGAATAAAGTGATATCTGATCTGAATGTGCTTGGTCCTGGATTGAAATGCTGGATTTCTAGCTAGGAATATGGCGCTCTGGCTATCACT